TTTATATGAATCATGTTATTTCGGCCTTGGGTCTCTTCGTTGTCTATCTTAATTTCAGCTCGATTTCAATATTAGTCAATAGAGCGAGGGTATATTTATAATTTATTTAAATAATTAAAAAAATTAAATTATAATACTTAATATAAAAAATTTATTTAATAATCTAAATAATCGTATATTTAAATTTAAATTCAATCAAAATTCACTTAATTAAAAAAAATTAAAATTTTTAATTTAAAATTTTTTTTATTAACATTCTTAATTAAAATATTTTTAAAATTTTTTAAACATGATTATATACTTCTCGATTATCATTTCTCAAGACACCCCATGTGCTTTAAAATCTCATCTACTTGAAATATCCCTGTCGGGTTCAAATATAGTTGAGTCATTATCAAACTATGCAAGGCGCCGCATCAATGGAGTTTGCATTCTTAGCGGAAGCGGAGCGATCATAAATGTAACTTGGAGACAACCAAATGGTGGGAGTACTAGTGCTGCTATGGTAACGCTGCACGGAAGGTTTGAGATTTTATCCCTAACTGGGACATCACTGTCACCGCCAGCGCCACCTGGAGCAGGCGGTCTTTCTATATTTCTTGCAGGAGGATAGGGACAGGTTGTGGGAGGATTTGTGGTGGGGCCTTTGATGGCTTTCGGTCAAGCGGTTTTGATGGCAGCATCCCTCACAAATGCAGTGTATGATTGGTTACCATTGGAGGAGGATAAGGAATTAGTACCAACAGTACAGGTGCATCAGCCAACAGGAGTGACTGGATCAGGTGGGGGCGGGCGGGTGATGGTGGTAATGACAGCAGTAATGACGGTGAAGGTGTACCTTTTTTTAATTTGGGAGTGAACAATATGGGGAGCTACTCTTTTGCCACATCCTACATTTGTGTTAAAAAAATATCATATAATAATCTCAATGTTAAAATTATCATTTTTAAATATATTTAATAATAATATTTATCAAATAATTTTATTATATTTAATACTTAATTTTTAATAAATATCAAACGAACTTATCGATAACATATTCAGCATTTAATTATTTAACATTTAAAATTCATTACTTAATAGATTTATATTTAATTTTCAGTTTTATCAAACACTACTTTAGTTTTAATTTAGTCAATTATTTAACAAAACTAATTAATTAGTCTTTAAGGTTTAAGAAACTATTTATTTAATTGTTAATTTTTTTAAAATTCATTTATAATTTAGTCCTTTCTTCAATATAAAAACTTTTATCTAGAAGAAAAAACTACTAAATTGAGGATGGCCAGTTCTAATCAATGGACGTTTTAATTAATTCCGATACTAAAGAGATAAATACGACAACTTTGTAAAAATCTAAACACAATGATGTTCATAACACGATTTGTTCTTGTATTTTTCTTTTTTTTATGTGAATTTCATTAAAATACTATTCTTTTACTGATTATGCCCTTCTACTATAAGTTTTATGTTATCCTTTCATTCGGTTCTTTTACATTAAGTGCCGCGTGTTAATTACGATATGTGCATGAAATATAAGAAAATCATCCTAAAAACCATAGTAAGTGACTAAAAGATAGAAAAAAAAATCTTGATTTTAATATTAAAATAGTATATTAACATCACAAGAAATATGTTGTATACTATTTTAAATATTTTTAATTAATTTATTTAATATTATTTTAGTTACAATTTCAATTTAATTTATAATTTTAAAAAACTTGATATTTTTTTTCTAATTAGTGGGAAAAATTTAATACATTACCCAAACATTTTATTTTATTTTCTTTGATATAAATAAATAAATAAAATATATTTTATTAATATCAATTTAATCTATGTGATATTAATTTAGTTAATAATAATAATACTTAAGGCTAAAGACATATTTATGCTCCTCTGGGATCCAAGTGTTTGATTCTAAAACTTAAAGGAGCTGATTCAAAGCATAGCCCAAACGTAACATTTCCATTTGGGCTTAAGCCTTTAGGCCTAAAAATAATTCTCAAATAATTATATCCCTACCATTTAGGTTTAAACCAGGCACCGTCGGCCCAATCCAAGCGGTGGACTAACCGTTTATTTAATTATACATTTCCCAATGGATTTATGTAGATTGGGGAGAGGACATGGGATCAAATCTAATTAACAAATCGTTTATTTCGAAATTTTCTTTCCTTAATTTAGTAGGACTAAATTATAAATTAATCTCTCTTGTTTTGAAAAAAATAACAACTAATCCCTCATATTTTAATAATTAATTATTTAATCCTTATATTTTGAAATCTACTTATGAGTTATTCATTTTTTCTTCTTTTTAATTTATTTTAATTTTTTGTTTCACGAAATAGAAAAAAGAAAAAATATGAAAATATTCATTAAAAAATAAGAGATTTTATGAAATAAAAATGATATTAAATTAAATACGTTTAACACTCGATTAAAGAATGAAATAATAGCTTTTAAAATAAATAAAAAAGACTAATTATTTTATTTGTTGAAACTAAAGAGACTAATTTATAATTTATTCATATATAGCAATGTTATCAAACCCAACCTAGAACGGGATCAATGGTTGAACCATTGGATCTTTTCCACTAAAATTTACGAATATTTTCCTAAAGGATAAAAAAAAAAAAAAAAAAAAAAGCGGTAGCCCAAGCCTCATAAACTACAATTTTTTATTTTTTATTTTTAATCAGGTCAATGCTTGACCCGTTAGCTCATCAAGTTGGGGTTGGCAATTTTTGACAAAAAAAAAAAAAAAAAAACTGTGTTCGGTCTGTGATCTCTAACCCTGGTGGGTGGATGGATGGTCTCAGTCATTGAGTGTAGACTGAGCCGTAGTATTTTCGTGAATTTCAGAACCTTTTTTCAGGGCATTTTATATGCTGTCATGTAATGGTATTTATGTTATTTTTTAGCATTTTATATGCTGTTTTACAAAAATACTATTCACTATTGTCCAACGCATTATTCTTGACCCCACAAAAAAAATTCTTTTATATGGAATGTTTTGCAAATATTACAATTTGATTTCTATTTTTTTTTAATAAATTGATGTAATTTAGATAATAGAATCTTAGAAATTTTTAATTACAATAGCATAATATATATATAATTTGTCTGAAATATATTTTTTTGAGTAAAAGTATGTTTTAAGATAATTTGTCTCCTTTTTTTAAATAATTTTCAAAATAGTTAATTAATAGTAAAAAAATCAAATGCAAAAAAAGTTTTTTTAAAAAATGATTTTTATACATGTGAAACATGTGCAAAAAGACTGATCATGTATGGCTTAGAAATAAAATATAATTTAAACAAAAAAAAAATTCACCTGTTTTATTTGGTTCCACTTTATAAAATCAAAATTTATCAAAATTAATTTTTCATAAATTTTTATTTTAATCTAAAAATTTTAAATTGATTCAATATATTTCTTACAAGTGGACTTTTTTTTAATGTCTTTTGTTTTGCATTGCGGACTCTAAAACTTAATCGAGTATATTTATAATCTATATAAAAAAAATTTTTGAATCATTGTTTTTTTACAAAAATCAATTATGCAACTATCAGAATATTAAGTATTTACTATTTATTTATTTTTGAATATTTTAAATCAATTTCTTTCACATTAAATATACAAAATTATGTTTTTTCATAACTACCCAATAATTCAAATGGAATTTTTTTTAATATTATTTATTTTTTGTGAATAAATATATAAAAATCAAATGTACATATTTTCATAAACTAACATTTTCAACAATAGTGAATAAAAAAATTATTTGTTTATTTTTATGCCATTTTTTACATTAATTGTGATTTTGTTTTTTCAACACAATCTTATGAAATATTAAGGTTTTTTTTATATTTATTTTATATTAAATCCTCTTTTTGTTTAAAAATCAATTTGTAAGGAGGAATTAATCATTTTTTAAGTACAAAAATTATGAAAGACATAAAGAAAAAATAGTTAAATATAAAAATTTAAGTAAAATATTATAAAATTAGATTTTTTTAATATTTAATTTCATATATTTTTACATACCTGTAACATAGCATGGACCGAAACAATATAGCATAGATGGTAATAAAAAAAAAACTAACATAGCATGGATCAATTTTTTGACCAATCCAATTTCGAACCCGACCTTGGTTACACCAAAATCACTGAATTTTTTAATCAAAAGCCAGGACAGGTCAGGTTTGACAACAATGCTTCCACTAGTTAAATTAGTCGTCAAACGGAAACAGGGCTTCCGCATGAAAAAACTCCAAAGAAAACACCCTGACGGAAGCAAATACGTACATAGACTTCATTTAAACACAATTTCTTCTCTAATGCTTCTACTTGTTTCTGTTCATAATTTTGTTACTAATAATATAATTGCCATTAATAATTCCATGTTCAAAAGATGTTGCTTTCATCCAACGTGGGCACTGACTACATTTCTAGTAATATTGGTATTATTTTTTTTAGATTCAGCCCTAAGGATGCCCCATGCTAATTTTTGCTTATTTCATATTAATCTTTTTTAAACGTCGTTAAAAGATATTTTTTAACATATGAATTTAGATATTTTAAAAATATTAATTATAAAAATTAAATTTGAATCTAATATACAAGTCGATAGTTGTAATCGATGTTTGCTTACCAATCGTGTTATTACTTTGTGAATGCTATTAGTATTACTTAGTACAAGTATGACTTCAAATTTGGCTGCTGATTATTGCATATTCCCAACTACTAACTTTCCCGGAATCAAAATCTATTACTGCTGCTTATATTTTATTTAACGCTGTAATGGATTTTGAAACATGGCAAATAATTGACTGTTTTACGTACTCCATGATCCCAAACAGTAGACATAATCTGCGACGGGAGATGAGGAGGAAAAAAACTATAAATACCCTCTTTCGAGTGTAAACAGAATCTGCAATTAATCTATTACGGGCAAAGAAAACGAAGTTTTATTTTTTACTTTTTTCCTCAAACAATGGCTAATGAGGTGACACTGTTAGACGCCTGGCCGAGCCATTTTGGCATGAGAGTGAGAATAGCTTTGGCAGAAAAAGGGATCAAGTATGAGAACATTGAGCAAGATTTAGGGAACAAGAGTGCTCTACTTCTGCAAATGAACCCAATTTACAAAAAGGTTCCAGTTTTCGTTCACAACGGAAAACCAATATGTGAATCCCTCATTATTGTTCAGTATATTGATGAGGTGTGGAAGGACAAATCTCCCTTGCTGCCCACTGATCCTTACCAGAGAGCCCAATCCAAATTTTGGGCTGATTTTTTTGATAAGAAGGTACGAGAATATATACATGTTCACATTTCTGCATCCTTGTTTAATATATCCTGATTATTATTACATATTTTGTTCAACTTTTTTTATTACCCGTACCACTTTCTATTCTTGAAGGATTGATGATCTTTATTTCGTTATTTATGGCAAAACTCGTTGCCATATGGTTGCCTGCAAGGAGAGTACAGTCCGTAGCATATTGTTAATTCCCAATAATGTACTGTTGGTGGTACAGAATATTAGAGTAATTGACTTTGGAATGTTGTGCAATGAATTTTCAGGTATTTGATCATAGTTTTAAGATATGGACAACAAAAGGAGAAGAGCAGGAAACAGCCAAAAAGGGTTTTATAGAATGCCTTAGGTTATTGGAAGGAGAGCTAGGAAACAAGCCTTATTTTGGAGGGGAGACCCTTGGGTACGTGGATGTGGCAATTGTCCCTTTCTATTCCTGGTTTTATTCCTATGAAACCCTTGGAAACTTCAGCATAGAGGCTAATTGTCCGAAGATTATTGAATGGGCTAAGAGATGCATGCAGAAAGAGAGTGTAGCCAATTCTCTTCGTGACCCAGAAAAGGTATATGAATTTGTTTTGATGATGAGGAAGAGGTTTGGGATAGATTAATTAGAAGAAATAGTATCTGCATCATCCAAGCCTTATTAATTATGGGGATGACAATAAGCTTTTCTTCGTTTAATTAGAAGCCGATGTGTTGTTTCTTTTTCGCAAATAATTGGGGCACATAACAAGTTTGGAAGTACTCATGATTTGCGAAGGGGGGCCCTTCGTTTCCCTGGCTTAATGTCTTGTATCCTTGTCATTTGAAGTTGCGTTTTCAATTACTTGAGTTTTGGTTGAATCCCTACTTATACATCTGTTGACTTCATCATTTTTATCAACAATGTTAATTACGATTAAAATCAAATAATTATTTTCAATAGAAATATGAGCTAAGAATTATGAGGAAGGGCTATCCTTGTAGTGTCACTCATGGCCATGAGGGATCTACTTGCACCCAAAAAAAGGGTTCCAATATGCTGCATGATTCTTTCAAACTGGAGAAGAAAAAAAAACAATGAAACTTAAATATTTTACTGTTTTCTTTCCTGTTTGCAACAATATGGATAGGCACCAACTTATCTAAATCTGATCCCGTAATTCTACCTTCCAAACCCAAATTCTACAAGGATCTCCCAACCTTTTATGTGCAATTAGCTAATCAAAATGATCAACTTGGACAACCTCAACCTTTTTTGAGGTTAGAAACTCTAATAACATCACACGAATCCAGTTACTAAACGATTAATATTCATCCCCAATCCTATTTAAATTAACCCAAAACGAAATCTACAAGCATAAAACCTTTTTTCTTTGAGGGTTGAAATAAAATAAAAAAAAATTAATTTAGAGAATTTCAATTTAAATAGCCAATAGTTTAGGGAGTGTTTGTATTATGACAAAAGCATAATGGATAAGTTTGTGTGAACCTTCTCTTTTTCTCTCACTTTTTTGTTTCTTTTTCTCTTTTTTCCTTGTTTTCTAGTAAATTATAAATTAGTTCTTTAAATTTTTTTAAAATGAATTAAACAGCTCTTCTAGTTTTAAAAATTAATTAATTAGTCCTTGTATATTTAAATCTACTTATAACTATAACTTAATCCTTTTTTTTTCATTTTATTTTCATTTTTATTCAAAGAAATAAAAAAAGAAAAAATTTGATAATATTTTTTAAAACAAACTAATATTAAATTACCATAATCAACACTAGTCAAAAAAACTAATATAGTTTTTCGGATCAACTTTCGCGTCACCCACACCACTTTCTAGATTAAGTTATTATCGAGCATGCTTAACCTTTAGCTGACCACTGAACTTCTTTTCAGACTAAATAAACTCAAACCTATATCATTAAAAGATAATTATGATTAATTATCAATGAATAGTAAAAATTGAATCTTAATCTTAGCCAACTCAAACAACCTCCTTACGCTGGACCACATCTTGGTGGTAATTTACTCATTCTTTTCTCTTTCTCTGTTACATTGTCTGTCATAGCCAAATCAAGCAAGGTATCTTCCCTTGCGCAATCGATTCCCTAGTGAGGTCAATCCTACATATTGGCATCATTGATATTACACTTGCCCAACGTATTAATTCATCACAGGAACAAATAGAATAGACTTTTGCTTGATTTTTTACAATAGAGGAAGTGATAGACTTTTGTAGTTTTATTTCGCAACTCCATTAATTCTAATGATAAACAAATCCGCACAGCTGAAAATGTATGCTATAAGCTCTCTGTTAATTTACCATTTTGCGTATCCAGGAGATAAAGATAACAGTTTCGCATTCGAAAAAAAAGAAAATCTAACAGTTTCGAAACAAGTACATATATTCTACTATTGGAACATGACTTTGATGTTCTCTCTTTAATTTACTTTGTTTATGGAAAGTTTGATAATAATCTATTTTTGCTCCAAATCTTAATTGAAATAACGAATGAGTTTCGTCAGTTTTGTTAGTACTCGAAACCTGCTTCTTCTCAAGTAACCCTATCAATTTCACCAAATCTTCTGAATTCAAGAGATCTTAAGGCCAAGTTTTTGCAACAAATAGATATCATAATAGTTAAACTAGAAACGAAAAATATGAAGATCAATGACAGAGATGCATTAGCTAATGAATTAATGGTAAAGAAGGTTTGTAATGGTGGTTGGGCTGCATGTCATGATTCAAATTCTCCATCAAGAAAAGGGAAAGAGAAAGAGTGGGTCAATCATTGATACATCAAGCAATATTTGGCTCAAAAAAGAGTTTCAATTTTTTTCTGGTCCACACTGTACTTTCATTTTCTAAGGTCCACATTGGTCAATTCATTTTGCTGTCTAATAATTAAAGAACTTAACAATAAATGCAATTTTTAATGTTCAACAAAGACGAGACATGACCACACAATTTATCACTTGATCTTAACAGCTATCCTACTTGCCTGTGGAGAAAGGAAGAGGGAAGGAGATCAATTATGGAGAAGAAAGTAGGATATCCTTGCACTTTGGTACGTGTGACAGATAAATAAAAAGAGAGCTATCCCTGCACTTAGGTATGTGTGACCTGCTTTGATGACATTGAATGCATGTCACCCACCTTACCTAATATCCTTAAATGATCACTCCCTTATTATGAGTAGCTTTGTCACCTCCTCCTGTTCATCACTGCGTTGTTCAAATTACCAAACTTGAAAAAACTTTGAGAGAAAGAGAGAGGTGATGGAGAAGATGGACATAGGAAATTCTCCGATGACAACGATGGGGTCAAGAGATGAGAATGAAGATCCGGAAAGAACCATGCGCACGGCTGAGACTATGCTCCGTTTGGTGCCAATGGCTTTGTGTGTCTCAGCGCTTGTCGTCATGCTTAAGAATACTCAAACTAATGACTTTGGCTCACTTTCTTATTCAGATGTTGGAGCTTTCAGGTCCTTAATATTCTATGCATGTTGATTTCATGCATCTATTTTGTTTTATACTTTTCACAGTTCAATTCTGTGTTTGATTGGGAGTTTTTTTAGGAAAAAAAAAATGGAGATCTATATTATATTGTAGGTTTACTTCTTTTAATCTTGAGCTAACCGTGATGCTAATTTTAGGAATACTTTTTCTAAGATCATATTTCGAAGAATCTCATGTACCTACGAGTGGATCACAGTCATCAATTGGATCTCATAATTCCAATGGTTATATATATATAAGAATTTCTAATATAATTGCAACGAGCACAAATTAAAGGACTTACCTTCTAACTTAACTAAGAAGTGGAAAATTTTTTAACAAGGGGCAATTGCCCTCCCTTGTCTCACTGAAAGGCAAAATTTCTCCTTTAAAAGGTTTCTAAACAAAGAGGATCCGTGCTCAAAATTCGATCGTTTACTTTTCTTTTCTTTTAACTCACACATCCAATACATATATCCAACGTTTCTAGCAAAACTAATATATTAGGATTTTAATTCATAATTTCTTACAAGAGATTATTATCGTTGGACTACAAGCTTTTTGATTTTTAGTTGTTTACCTGTGCCTTCTGTTTTATTCTATAAAACATGCAAAATTCTTTGGAGGATTTGTCTAAAAAATTAATTAGCATACATAACCTTCAATCTATTTTGCACAAGTTTTTCACTCAGCATGCCTCTTGAATCTTGATCATTCAACGAAAGTACTTTCAATTTGGTCCTCATCATGTATTGTTTAGAGTGCTGGAAAAAACAAATCTCTTGATTCAACTCCCTTTTTTGGAGCATGATTGTTTTTCACTATGTTTCTTTTTCCTTATTCAATCACGTTAAAAAGATTTGATTTATGATGCAGGTATTTGGTTCATGCCAACGGCATTTGTGCTGGTTATTCCCTTCTTTCAGCTGTCATTGTAGCCATGCCTCGGCCTTCCACCATGCCTCGAGCCTGGACCTTTTTCTTACTCGACCAGGTAATTATTTTGATCAAAATTTTTCACAACCTTAATTACTTATATCAAACCCACAAGATTGCACTTAGTAGCTGATCGATCTATTTTTATTGACCTAGGTGTTAACCTATGTAATTCTGGCCGCCGGCACGGTGTCGACGGAGGTACTATACTTGGCAAACAAGGGAGACATAACCATCACCTGGAGTGCAGCTTGTGGGTCATTTGGTGGATTTTGTCACAAGGCCTTGATATCTATAGTCATTACTTTTGTTGTCGTAATTTGCTACGCTGTTCTGTCACTCTTATCTTCGTACAAACTTTTCAGCAAATATGATGCACCAGTTGTGACCTATCCAGGCAAGAGCATTGAGACTGCCACCTTCGGTTGATCACTGCCACTACTAATCAATCTCTACTCCATGTTCATGAGCAGCTAGCATGCAGTGACCGCAATAACAACCCAAATTAGAACGAGTTGATGGTCGATACGTAGGAGGTGTTGTTGTTTTGTTTTCCACTTCGTACAACTACTTCACTGCTTTTGTGTAATTATCTACATGTGATATGCTTCCTGTAATACCCAAGAGACCATGTTTTTTTTCTAAATACATGCATTTGCAGATTAATAAGACATATCTTTTGTTTATTTATTTATTTATTTATTAACAAACAGGAACGGTAGCTTGAAATTTTTTATTAATATGATTAAAAAAAAATAATAGAAGAGGAGACAAACCACTCTTACCCATGTTGGAGACGCAAGGAAGCCTAACATCTAAGCCCTAAGAAGAAATACATATCTTTATGAACGGAAATTATAAAGACCTAAAATGTCATGTTTACAAGCAATTTTAATATCAAAAGGAAGCTCGAGGTAATCGTTAAATTGCCAGTGACTTACATGAGTGTAGGCATAATCGACTAATCTTGCAGCCACCATATTCTGTTGGCGAAGAAAATGAACAATCGAGTATGTATCCATCGCAAGCCGACATTGCCGAAGTTGCTGTTCAAACCACCATATATGTTTTGGTTTATAAAGCTGGTTTGTGGAGAAATTACGTGAAACTAGAAATGATAACTTAACATTTGAACCTAAAGAGCCTTCCATGATGAGACTAATTAACCAACATGGACTCAGAAACATAGTTTTAAATTGCAGGTCGTTGAAAACATAGTTATGATCATCTTCACGAATTACGACTTCTTATAATACTAAAATAATAATAATGAAATCAATGTTTCGAAACCATTATATGACGGTCGTTATATAACGTAACGATTGTTATTTAACTATGCTCGAAAAAATAATCCCAATTGTCATCGCGAATTATGACTTATTATAATACTAAAATAATGATAATGAGATCGATGGTTTGAAACCATTATGTAACGACTCGTTATATAAAGTAATGGTTGTTATTTAACTATGTTCGAAAAAATAGTTGCAGTCGTCATCTTGAATGACGACTTATTATAATATTAAAATAATGATAATGGGATCGATACTTCGAAATCATTACATAATTACGATATATAACGCAAAGAAGATTGTTATTTAACTATATTCAGAAATTTAGACACTTTCTAACAGATATGTTTATGCAAACACAAGTTATTTGCTGTCACGCAGAGATGAATTCCAACCGAAGAAGGGCAGTAGCAGTGTAAAGTGTAAACTAAACAGGAAGTGTATGCATGTCACTAGGGACTCGGGGGGTGAGATATAAGCTTACAGCATTATAAGCTCAGATTGTTTCATTTCTAGCATTCAAAGGGATTGGATTGCAATTAATGATAGGCCAGAGCCCATGTTGAGAAGCAAAATCTGTACAAATTAGTGGCCCAAAATAGACCATAGGTTACTACTACAAGTATCCAGCCCAACTAAATTAGAAGCACACAGTAATTTCAGCCTTGATTTTATCAGATGTGAAAATGGGATTTTTGGCACCATTTAACAAGTTTAGTGTCCATCCAATCTGCTGAATATTGCTTGTGCAGAACAAAAGTTGCTTTAAGAAGCTATAATTAATCCAAGTTTGTATGTGATTTGTAGCCAATGGAATTTCTGTGATGTTTGTTCAATTCTCTAGTTGCTTTTCTGATTGTTTCTAGGATATTTTCACGTTTGGTAACTTTGTACGCTTTGTCTTTTTGATAATGATTTTTTTTTTTTTTTTTTTTTTAAGAACAACTTTTGTGTCCATCTCTGCCTCCCATGAAACTGTATATCTTGAGCTTTTCACTTGTCAAATCTGCTCTGCTCTACTCGTCCCTTTCCTTCTATCATACGGTGTTTATTGGTTTTCAGTAAAATTTATTATTTTTAGCATATATATATTCCCAAATAAATATATAAATAGTAAATAAGTTTAAGGATGCTAAAAAAGGTCCACATAAAAAAAATGACCCAAAATGGGAAAATTAATTTTCAATTTATTTCTTATTTTTTGGGCAAAGAAAATAAGAAGAAAAATAGTACCAAAGAAAATACTAAAATATGAATGAACAAAGATTTGAAAAAAAAAATAAAACAAAGGAAGAAAAAAAAAACCATGAAAACCTTTAAAAAGCCTTATCATTATCAGAATGGAAATTTTAACAGGCAGAGAAACAGCCACACAAGTGCCAATTTTGTAGCTTTGTCCATCCCCACCAAAAACATAATATCCTCCATTCCTCTGCATCCACAAACCGCTTCTCTTTCACTTTTTCACTCATTTTCTCTCTCACTCTCTCTCTCTTTCTGAACACAAAACAAAACCCATTTCACTCCTTCAAATTCCCTATCTTCCCATCCCATTTTCTCCTTAAGGTAAGCACTAATTCTTCTCTTTCCTGGTAATTGAGGATTTCAACTTTAATAGAATCTTGAAACTTTTTGTCTAATTTGTACAATTTACTCAATATGGAATCAAAAGGGTGTTTTTAGGTTTCTTGTTGGCTGTTGTGAATGGGGTCTATGGTGGTTTTAGTAGGCAATATGCCATCTTTGGCTTCCCTTGTTAGTTTAGGAAGCTTGAGTGTGTCTACAGCTCCTTCTATTTGCGTTGAATCTTCTTCGTTTTCAGTTGTTAAGAGAGTTTCTTTATCAAAACGGAGTCTTAGGAGGGCTAAAAGATGGCATTGTGTGTGTAAATATTCAGTTACTACCACTGATTTCATTGCTGAACAAGGCAATGCTGTGTCACTTGATTCTAGTAGTAGTACAATTAGAGGAGGAAGTGATGGTGATGGTAATGTTGGTGATAGTGAGGTTGTACTTAAGCCTAGTCCAAAGCCTGTGTTAAAATCTCCTGCTGATTCTAAGGATGAAACCCTTTTGAGTATGAATTCTGTTGGGTGGGGTTCTTCGAGGGGTAGTGGGGATTCTGATGAGGAAGAAGATAGGCATAAGGTGATTGAGTCACTTGGTGAGGTTTTGGAGAAGGCTGAAAAGCTTGAAACTTCGAAACGAAGCAAAGTGGGTGGTAGTGCTAGTAGTAGTAGAAAGGAGAATGGGAATGTAAATAAAATGACTCCATCTAATACGGATACTGATTCAAAAAATGTTAATTCGACGGCTGCTACTCGTAAAACTAAAACTTTGAAAAGTGTGTGGCGGAAAGGAGATTCTGTTGCTGCAGTGCAGAGGGTTGTCAAGGAAGTTCCAAAGAGTAATACAGTTATCAAAGAAGAACATAAAACAGTAGAAGGGGCAAAGCCAGAATCTCAATCAAGTGTTCCATTGAAACCTCCGCAGCAACCTCTAAGACCTCAACCGAAGTTACAGGTCAAGCCATCTGTAGCTCCTCCATCTATGATTAAGAAACCTGTTATTTTGAAGGATGTGGGGGCTGGTCCAAAGTCACCAATAAAAGATGGAACTGGCTCGGGTGCCGCACAAAGTAAAGGACAGCCAATTTTGGTCGACAAATTTGCACGCAAGAAACCGGTTGTTGATCCTCTAATTGCACAGTCTGTTTTAGCCCCTACTAAACCAGTAAAGGGCCCTGCTCCTGGAAAGTACAAAGAGCGAAAGAAAGGTGTTTCATCTGGAAGCCAAAGAAGGCGGCAGTTGAACAATGATGATGTTGAGATTCCTGATGAGGAGCTCAATGTTTCTATTCCTGGTGCAAAAGCAATGGCGAGAAAAGGGAGGAAATGGACTAAAGCCAGCAGGAAGGCAGCTAAACTCCAGGCTGCCAGAGAGGCAGCTCCTGTCAAAGTAGAGATTTTAGAGGTTGGGGAAAAAGGCATGTCAATTGAAGAACTAGCCTACAACTTGACCATCGGGGAAGGTGAAATTCTTGGGTTTCTGTTCTCAAAGGGGATTAAGCCTGATGGGATGCAAACTTTGGACAAAGACATGGTAAAGATGATATGTAAGGAGTATGAGGTGGAGGCCATAGATGCTGATCCATTTAAATTTGAAGAAATGGCAAAAAAGAACAAGATTTTTGATGAAGAGGATCTGGACAAACTACAAGAGAGGCCTCCTGTCCTTACTATAATGGGTCATGTTGATCATGGCAAGGCAAGTAGCAACGTTCTCTATCTCTTCATATTTGAAATTGGATGTTTCTGCATTATCTTCTTTCACTCACTCTTGGTTTTGATTTGATTGTTAAAAGAATGGTGGTATTTTTCAAAGATTTTTCTAATGTATCTGGTGTTATCCTCATTACAGACAACCCTGTTGGATCATATTCGTAAAACCAAGGTACGGTGAAGCTTCTTCATCTTGAGGCCACTCTTTGATTTGTTGTAAACACCACTTAATTGAGGTCTTATGGATTTAAGTTTTGACGGCATACTTTCCATGTCATTTCCCCTGCCATTGCAATTAAGTATTTTTTTTTTTTTTAAAAAAAAGGGAAGATATAGAATGTCTAACCTCAAAACTTGAAATTGATTCGGGATTAATTGGTTTCTGAAGATATATGTAGACTGTTCTAAGATGACATGCACATAATTTAACTGTAGCCTGACAGATGGATATTTGCAGGTGGCTGCCTCAGAAGCTGGTGGGATTACACAAGGAATTGGAGCATATAAAGTTATGGTACCTGTTGATGGCAAGTTGCAACCATGTGTTTTCCTTGATACTCCTGGGCATGAGGTAAGCAATATCCATTTATCGCTGTTAACTTCAATTGTTATTTGCCAAATACTTAAATGCTTTGCAGATCATATCTGATGTGCATTAATCCTTGTTTAAGCTAGTGTTCTTCTGACATGATTTTATGAACTTAACTGTGAACTGAACATGATTGCCTGCATTTGGATGATTTCTATATTAATTGGATGATTTCTATATTATCTACTGCTGCAGGCATTTGGAGCAATGAGAGCCCGTGGAGCAAGGGTGACTGACATTGCTATTATTGTGGTGGCTGCTGATGATGGGATTCGTCCTCAGACAAATGAGGCCATAGCTCATGCCAAAGCAGCTGGAGTACCCATTGTAATCGCAATAAATAAGGTATGTCAACAAAATTGGATTTTTTTGTGATCAGAAAGAAAAAAGAAGAAACATTTGCCCTGCTGCATTTGGAAATGCCTTCAGTTTTGCTTGGTGTTGGCTCAAGGACTTTCTGATTCTGTTTTTCTTAAATTCTACCAGATAGATAAAGATGGAGCTAACCCAGAAAGAGTCATGCAAGAGCTTTCTTCAATTGGCCTCATGCCAGAGGACTGGGGTGGTGACATCCCAATGGTTCAGGTATTTTATAATTATTGCACCTTTCTATTTGCTTTATCCTTTTGCAGATGCTTATGTCCTTGTGCCTCCTTTTAACAGATCAGTGCTCTCAAGGGGGAAAATATAGATGATTTGTTGGAAACTGTTATGCTTGTTGCAGAGGTCAGTTAAATTTTATTGGTGTGCCAACTAGTTGGTTTCAATTCTTTTTTTTTTTTTTTTTTTTGTCCAATGAAATAATCATAGTTTACTGGCCATTTCGGCGGTCAAAATTGGATCCATGAACTTCTCTTTCTAATGGTTGAAGGGCCCCCCCCCAAAATGCTAGGAATATCTATTAGTATTATCTTGCAATATCAATTCAGTTAGTTGATAGTATTTCATGTATCTAATTAATTTCCTAGGATCGTATAGTAGTAGTAGTTGCAGCATTTTAAATGAAAAGTATAACTTCTGTTCCCCAATAAATTTGATAACTTGTATTTGTCCCTTGAATTTTCCAATTGCTGGATCATTATGAAACTTGAATATGAAGTATATGTATTTTAATGAGCACACAAGGGACAGTCAAAGGTGCTACATGACAATCATGCATGTACTCTCCCAAATCTCTGTTAGATATCTGCCACAATAACTAGAACTACACTACAGTTGGTACACTTGAAGCCATTAATGATTCCCTAGAACGAATGGGATGTAGTGTAGCATACATTTAGCAGCATGCGTATTTGTTTTCTGACTTCATGCATGATTGTTTCAGTTACTGGAATTGAAGGCTAATCCAGATAGAAATGCAAAGGGTACAGTTATTGAGGCTGGTCTTGATAAATCTAAAGGACCAGTAGCTACTTTTATCGTACAGAATGGCACACTGAAAAGAGGGGATGTAGTGGTCTGTGGAGAAGCCTTTGGAAAGGTTGGTTAGTAGGAGTTTGAAATTTAAAAGAACTCTGAACTTTCTTTAAGAAAAACGTTGCTGCTTAATGTTATTTAAATGCTAATCTTGACATGTTCACCCACCTTGGAGAACTTCTTTCTTATGCCATGTTTAGGTGCGGGCTTTATTTGATGATGGTGGAAAACGGGTTGATGAAGCTGGACCGTCAATGCCTATTCAGGTCTGTTGTTATTCTTTTTCCTGTTTATTTTTGTTTGCATGCATGCTGTATTATATGTACTTATTTTGTGTGGTGGCGTTTGCATTATGTAGCCGTGTTTCTTTTTTCTTTTTTTTTCTTTTTCTTTTTTCTTGTTTTCATCATTACTGTTGGAATATTCACGATCTAAGACCCATTCTAATACTCCTCTTTCAGCACACATAAACTAAACCAGCAATTAGGACAAGGACAAAAATTTTAGCTTCTATAAATACAGATACCCAATATATTGGTATTTGATACTATGGAAATCATTAGCATTCTGGGTATCCAGCTCAAGCCCCAAAATGCTCCTAACTTTGGAAAGGTGTGACTGATTTTAGAAGGCTGTACGTAGTCTGGTTAGGTGATTACAACAATAAACCAATCTCCATTTTTTTTCCCCTTTTATGTTATGTATTGTGGTACATGGATCCCTATCTATTTGTGTCATATGGTTTTCACATAACTATTTCATATGCATCTTCATTTGAAACTATCCTTGCAAATACGTTATTGGCGCTCACACTGTTCTCTACAGGTTATTGGTTTGAGTAATGTACCAATTGCTGGTGATGAATTTGAGGTTGTTGCCTCCCTTGATATTGCACGCGAAAGGGCAAAGACACGTGCAGAATCATTATGGATTGAGCGTATATCGGCTAAGGCTGGGGATGGGAAGGTGACCCTTTCATCCTTAGCTTCAGCCGTTTCAGCAGGAAAGCTATCTGGATTAGACTTGCACCAGCTGAATATAATATTGAAAGTTGATCTTCAGGTATGTGCATTTGCTATTCATTTTACTGTACACAGGTAAGAAGAATTCTCATGATGTTTTCGTCTTCATCATACTGTCTGTTCTGTTGAAATCAATTTGTGTTCCCAAAATTTGCTATATTAATTGACTTTTTATGTGTACTAGTTTTTACTCATGCAATGCATGGGAATATTTTTCAGATCTAGGCATTTAAAAAATAGATCTTTGAACAGATAGTTAAATAGACACACAAAAGACACTTGAATATATAATACACTCAAAAAGTGAAAGTTACTCAAAGAAGCCATTTGTTTAACTTGTGTATGAATTTGATTCATAATACAAGAGTTGCTTTTCACAACTTTGGTTAAATGCTTAACTTTAACAAATGTATTTGTCTATAATGCTATAAAAAAAAATAATAATATGTTTCAAGTTTCTTTCTACATGTCCCTTTGATCTAATATGTTTTAAGTTGAAATTAGTAACTAAATGTGTTCTGACTTTCTTTTGAAGCAAAATTTGGTTCAAATTTTTTGAGTTACTTATAAATAAGCCTTTTATTTTTAATTCTGAAGTTAAAAGTAAAATTAAGTTTATAGTTGTATCAAATGCCTTCCAAATCTATGACATTTACTTGGAGTTGCACTTTGAGCTTTTGTACAGGTCACTAACTTGTACAGAAATTTAATCTGAATGAGAAAATCAGATATTGAAAAATGTTGACCAAGAACCATTTTTAACTCGTGCTAGGAAATGCTTTTGGATCTTACTAGGAAAAATCAAATTTCTCAATAATAGCAATGCAATTTGCTGATTGATTGCTTACCTTCAGCAAAAAATTTGTTCTTTTGCACAGAGGATTTGACGAAATTTATGACATATGATTGCTAGTATGGTTTATAATTTATACTATAAGTGCAAGTGCAAGTAAATTCTCTTTATTATAAATAGGGATCTATTGAAGCTGTCAGGCAAGCCTTACAAGTACTCCCTCGAGATAATGTGACTTTGAAGTTCCTCTTGCAAGCAACGGGAGATGTAAGCAACAGTGATGTTGATCTTGCCGTTGCTAGTGAAGCTATTATTTTAGGATTCAATGTCAAAGTTCCAGGTTCTGTCAAAAGCTATGCAGAAAAAAAGGTGTTGAGATTCGGCTGTATAGAGTTATCTATGAACTCATTGATGATGTGCGAAATGCTATGGAAGGACTTTTGGAGCCTATTGAGGTCAATTCTAATGCATCAGTGTTTGTTTTTTTTTAAAAAAAAAAAAAAAATCATACTTGGTGTAGATTGCAGATGTTATTTAGGCAATGCATGTATTGTTCTTTGATGTTTGATGTGAATGCATATTTGTTCTCAAGTACCGGAACAAATTTTAAAAGGTGCCCTCTGAGATCTTCTAGAAGAATTAAACTGCGATCCTTCTCTTTTTTTTTCTTTTTTTTCATTTTTTCATCATCATGTGCATGCTTGTTTGGCATATCATAGTATAGGCATGCTGATGTTTCATGCTCGTACCACTACTGTTCAGCATTTTCTCAAGAAGTGTCCATGAAGCATATATATCCAGAGCAGGACACTCTAATATGGTGATATGTCTATATTTTATTTATCCTTTTCTGGGACCTGTGGTTGGGGGATGAGAGAAGCTTTTTAGTTCATTGGTTCTAGGTTAGGACAATGTTTGTATTTGTTCTCCTTTCCTGCTTTTTTTTTTTTTTTAATATTATCATTGTAGTTAGCCCATGTTTATTTAAGTCAGGAATATTCTTGGTTTATGAGCATGTGCTGCTTTTGATTTAATTTTATGAAATATCCGTTGCTGTATAGTTACTGATTTGCTGCTTGCATGTTAATAGGAACAAGAGCCAATTGGCTCAGCAGAAGTCCGGGCAGTATTTAGCAGCGGCAGTGGTCGTGTAGCTGGATGCATGGTGACTGAAGGCAAAGTAGTAAAAGGCTGTGGCATTAGGGTTATCCGAAAAAGAAAAATAGTCCATGTCGGTGTCCTTGATTCTTTGAGACGTGTTAAGGAAATAGTGAAGGAGGTATACTTTTGATGCCAGTATAGCCTTTCTTTGTTACAATGTGTTGAATTTGCTGCTTACTTTCAGTATTACAATATCAACAAACCAATATTTTCAGTTGATCTTGGTGCCTCTGTCACCCCCTCCAGAGACCTGCATTTCAGTTGAGCATTATGCAGTATAGCCACGCCTCTTGGCATGTATATATGCAATACTTGTTTAGGGACTCGGTTTACACACAGCTTTATTGAGTTGTCCATCAAATACCTATAGCTGCTTTATTTGTCCTTTTTCTTTTTCAGAGTTTATAATGATATTTTATAGAGGAATTTTTTATCCATTGATTGGATGTCCTTAATAACTCAGCTATTCATTGGGGGGTGGTGTTAAAGGTTGAAGAACATGCATAATGTGATTTCAAAACTTGGTTTCTTTTAGGTGATATGCTTACATTATTCATGAAATTGCTCTATTGCAATATTGGAGACTTCTCTTTTCGGAAGTTGTGGAAATTTCAAGTTGCTGCGGTTATTGGGTTTGAATGAGATGACTGAATCATCCAATTTTTATTGTATTTGTTGAGATCAATTCTTTAACTTTTATGCTTTGCTTTCTTGGGTCAACTTGTAGAATCTAATTATGAGAGATGCAGCCTCTTCACTACCTCTGCATTTACATTTTTTATTTGAGTTGGGCCTTTTCTTTGCTATCATGAATACTCGCTTCCTGTATAAGATTGTAAAATACCTTCCCTAGTGGTTATAATATGTTTTCCCAACTTGATGCCTGGTATAATACTTGGTCTATCATTGCTGATGTTCTTTTCTTTTTTAATATCAATCAGAAACATTTATTATTTATTCTCTGGTGCACTGGGCTTGAAGATCTTTCGAGGCCCTCCATGTTTTTCATTTGCCGTCTACCTTACCTTGCACAAATTCTATCTTTTCCTAACAGGTAAATGCCGGACTAGAGTGTGGTATTGGGGCAGAAGATTATGATGATTGGGAAGAAGGCGATATTATCGAGGCCTTCAACACAGTGGAGAAGAGGCGAACCCTTGAAGAGGCATCAGCTTCCATGGCAGCTGCAATGGAAGGAATGGGCTCATAGCGTGGCGTGTGGTTTTGAAGCTGACAAGTTTGGTTCTCCTGATGGAACTCAAAGCATAACAGGTTGAATAATGGTAGCACTATCAAATTAGTGCTCTAACATTCCTCAGTTCGTGCAGTACAGATTAGTTGCCCTGCAGATAAATTTATTCAAGCGCGCACACAAGAAGATCAGATCGGATCGGATCAGAGCTTTTGGTGATTTTGTCCATTGTTGTATGCTATTTTGTTGTATATATTGTAACAGATACCAGATCTCATTTACTTTCTGTAAAGGAGCAATCATACCAGTTCCTCATGATCCAATGTGCCAAAACAATGTAACAAATTCTGGAAGAAGTTAATTTTTTTTTTAAGGTGCTCGGAACCGGGCATGCATCATTTCATACAGTTTCTCATTCATTATTCAGCACTTGCTTGTGCCAGTAGGAAATGGTAGGAGTGGGATTGGATACAAGCATTTCTTAATGCCCAGGTGAAACAAATGTATTGTCAGCAACAAGTAAATCAAGGCTAGCTCTTTCTGCTTCTAATTTTCACCTTATCTTTCTCTGATAAAATCCATTCTAACATTATTTGTCCCATGAATCGCCATGTATTGATCTCAGGAACGAAAAGGGTACTTGGACTTTCTAAAGAGTTAGTGAAATTACATTTCAAAAACTTGATAAATAAAAAATAAAGATAAAAATCCTAGTCTTGGTCATTGCACATCAAAAATGAAAAATTTTGTTAAATTTTCATTGCATTTGCTTTCTTTAAATACGGAAGGTTGAGAAACCTTAATTTAGCTCCTAATGTATTGCTTCTTTATCATTCAAGTCCTAAATCTTTTTATCTTAACAATTTACCTCAAATGTAATCTATATATTAGACAATGCCGTCTCTCCATTCATTCAATTTTATTGACAGTCAAAAGCTTTTATCAAGTTTGCATGTGTTCATTAAGTGATTTCATTCGAAGCGTCAATATAAGTACGAATATGTCTTCAAAGATAATTTTAGAACCAAATCATAGTAATTTTTCTTTTCTTTTTTTTTACCTCCACTATGATCTGACGGTAAAAATATACTTTAACATAGATTGAAGTTTATTTAAGCATTTTGGTTGGAAATATTTAACTAGCAAATGGGAATTAGACATAATCGATTAACAGACGATAACACGGAGATGGATGTTAAGGGCTAAATTGAAGTTTCTCTAAAACTGAAAGATACAAACGTAAATTTCCACTAAGACTGGGTACGAAAGGCAAGGCTCCAGCACGTGAGGAAAGTGAAAGGCACTTGACGGCCCACTTTTGTCAATGAAGAAGGCCCATTACCATGCCCGGCTAGCAAGTTTCAAAATTCAAAACAAACGAAAAAAGGAAAGGAGCAACGGTCAACTTTTTTCCATAACCAGATCACAAAAATCAATCCATGATGAATCAAATGTTGTCTTTTTTTACGTTTCATTAACAGAATCAAAACATTCTCCCTTTCCTTTTCTTCTTCTTCTTCTACTCTCTCTCTCTCTCTGTCTCTTTATCTCTCAAAAAAGAGAGAAATAAAAGATTGAATTCAAAAAGTTTCTTCCTTTTTTTCTCTTTATTTCTTCTAATTCAAACCAACCCCAATTGATTACACAGTCAAAACACTGTCTTTTTCTTTTGAAAGATTTTTTCATTAATCATGGAAGATAGTGAAACTTCACATGAACAACAACCTAATCAATGGCATGACCCACTTCTTCTTACTGATGTTTCTTGGCAACAACAACAACAACAAGAAAACAGCAGCTCTCTTTCTTACTCTCAATGTAAGATCACTTCACTTACTCTAGTACCCAGTTTTTGTTTCTGTTAACGATTTTTTAGGTTCGTTGACAGATTTTTTCTCACTTCTTTCTTGTTTAGATACTGAACCCATTTCATCAAAGTTTCAATCTTTGGCCATGGTAGATTCAAATCCTTGTTCTAATTCAAACGAAGGTGATGTAGATTTCCTTTTTAAAGAAAACCCATTTGTCTTTTTAACTTGAATTTGCTTTGTAGGATCAATTTTATTTCTAAATGTGGAGATTTTATTGTTTTTTTCCTTTCTTGTTGTAGATATGGATTGGCAAGAAACCCAGAGCTTAGAATCAATTACTATGCAGAAACTTGTAGAACCAGTTGAGAATGATACAATTGATGGTAAAACATCTCTTCTTTTTTACAATTTTTATCTAGAATTGGATGTCAAAATTGAATCTTTTGTATTGGGGGTTCAAGATTGGAGAATTTGATTGAATTTTGTGTTATATTTTCAGGTAGGTCCATGTTAGGGTTTTCTTTGACATCTCCTGATCTGGTTATTTGTGCTGGTTCACCTGATATATCAAGAACTGGATATGGAGATTCTCCTGAATTCTTGGATACAAACAAATGTTCGCTTGAGCTTTCTTTAGAGAATGGTATTGTTGGGTCTGATAAGAAAGACTCTAGTAGGACTCCATGTGTAAAGTTTTCGGCAGTATTTCAAACATTCAACAAAGAATTGTCTCCAGAATCTTCATTTGAGCTACTTGCACAACCAGAGAAAGAAGAGAAATTGGTGAAAGATTTCACTCCTGGTGTATGCATCAATGCAGGATGCACTGATGGGGCTGTGGTTCTGGGTGGTGTTGAGTTTTTAGAGGATGATTGTTTTGTGGGTGGTGATACTGTAAGGACTGATGTTACAATTGAGGACGGACGTGAAGGGGGCCTTTCTCTTTACCAAACAGCTCGTTATGGTAATTTCTCGTATTGTTTTCAAGGGCTGGAGCCTGGGACTTATGGTGTTAGTCTGCACCTCGCAGAAATTGTTTTTACTGATGGGCCTCCTGGACTAAGAGTATTTGATGTTTTCATACAAGAGAAGAAGGTAAGAATTCATGGAACCAAGACAAACAGGAGTTCTAATGGAGGTTGCTAATGCCGTCACATTTATTATATTTGATCGGTTGTTTTTGTAGGTTGTGTCATGCCTGGACATATTTGCACAAGTAGGTGGGAATACACCTCTGGTTGTATCTGACCTTAAAGCTTTCGTTGAGGACGATCAGGGCTTATTGATTAGATTTGAAGGAGTGATGGGAAAACCAGTTGTATGTGGCATTTCTGTTACAAAAGATCCTTCTGCTAGTAAGTTCAGTTTTCTATCTTCTTTTAGTTTCTAATCTTTTTGCTTTTTGTTCATGTTTCAACATAGAAATTTAGTCAAGCTTTCTAAAATTTCTAATTTCAGATACTGGAGAAGCTCAGTTACTACAACCTATGGGAATGTCCCAACTAGCAGAATGCGAGTCAGCAAAAGTAATACCTCTTAATCCTTTAAGATTTTAATTTAGTTTGGGAGAAATATAAAATGTGAAAAACATTAGATTATTGCCTCTAAATAGATGGTTAAACAGCAGGATAATGGTCACCTCGAGGTGGAAGGGAATTATCAGAAGCTACTGAGAGATTATGAGTGTCAGAGAAGGGAATTAACAGAGATGAGGAGGACAATGGACGAACTTAAGAGAGAAAACCGACTTAAGAGCAGGGAATGCCAAGATGCTTTGAAGTCTTTACAGGAGCTCCAGAATGAGCTCATGCGCAAGTCGATGCACGTTGGGTCCTTGGGTATGGAAATATAATTTTGTCTACAGTAATCACATTATATACATAAGCATTGATTGTACTGTGGTTGCATGCAGCCTTTGCCATCGAGGGACAAGTGAAAGAGAAGAGCAAGTGGTTCACATCATTGAGAGACTTGACAAGAAAACTGAAGGTATTGTTGTGAGTTTTGACCTCTCTCTAATGGAATATCTGGTGGTATGTTAAATTATTTTGAAACTTTTGCATTTACAGATTATGAAAATGGAGCACATCAAGCTATCAGAGGAGGCACTGGCATACAAGAATTGTGTTGCAGATATGGACGAGATGAAGTCTACTATTCTGTCCACTAGTAGGTTAACATGTTGATGATGTTGTCTTTAACTAACTTACCTATCTTTCTTCTACACTTTTAATTCACTTTTTTATTCTGACAGTGAAGCAGCAAGCAGATTTGCATGAGGATCTCAAGATTAAATTTGTTGAAGGAGCCAAGGAAAGAAAGGAACTGTACAATAAGGTTCTAGAGCTGAAAGGTAAACTTATTTTTGCTTAGATATCTAGAGTTCTATGGTTTGGAATTTAAAGACAGTTTACCGAAAACTGACTCTTATTATTTGCAGGAAACATACGGGTGTTTTGCCGATGTCGGCCTCTAAAATCTGAAGAAGTAGCAGCAGGAGCTTTAATGACTGTTGATTTTGAATCTGCTAAAGATGGTGAGCTCACAGTTATATCAAATGGGCTTCCGAAAAAGACCTTCAGGTTTGATGCTGTTTTTGGTCCCCAAGCAAATCAAGGTAAGTACATCTTGTATGAATAAGTTCAATTTGGATCTTGTTGCAATCCACTATGTTACTTTCAATAATAAGAGTTGCTTTTATCTCTTTTGTTTAGCTGATGTTTTTGAGGACACTAGACCATTTGCAAGCTCAGTTTTGGATGGATACAACGTCTGTATTTTTGCATATGGACAGACCGGAACCGGAAAAACTTTTACAATGGAGGGTACAGAAGAAGATCGTGGAGTAAATTTTAGGACTCTTGAGCAAGTTTTTTGTATGATTAAGGAGCGAGAGAAGCTATTTCGATATGATGTATCTGTAAGTGTTCTAGAAGTTTATAACGAGCAAATACGTGATTTACTAGTATCAGACTCTCAGCCAGGTGTAGCTGCAAAGAGGTAGCCTGAAATCCTTGTCTTTTATATCCATTTCATCTTATGTTTTCTACAATTTTTTTATATGCTGAATGGTTCTCCTCAAGACCATAATTGTATTCTGATATGACTCTTATACACTTGATGATATCAATATTCATATAAAGGTTTTTAGCCGCATGAGTGTTCAATATTCGTATAAAGGGTTTTAGCTGCATGACTCTTATACACTTTATGATATCAATATTCGTATAAAGGGTGGTTTTAGCTGCATGTGTTCAATTTCCTTGTTGCTGTTTTCTTGCAAAATCTGTTATGGACTTGATTTGCAGTTTCAACAGGACTAAACACACTAAATCCCTTTCAATGATGAAATCTCAAGGAGATCTTTTAACTTTTATATACCTCCAGAACATTATCTATGAAATATTCAGAACCAGTTCTATGTTTTGTATAATATATATATATATATATACACGTATATGTACTATTCTTTTTTTCCTTGTTTGCCTGAGATTTCCCTTCACTCACAGTAATATCCCAATATGAGATTTTCTTGTGATATATTTCATCTGTTGTAAGAAATAGAGCAGCATTCCAGTATTTCATCGATCTACTCCTTGTCCAGTATCCTCAATGTTATCATCTTTGTGTCAGTTTCACCGAAGCATCGGAGCGTTGGCTTCTTCAACTAATTACTAAACACATTCATTATTATGGAAATGCAGGCTGGAAATAAGGCAAGCGAGTGAAGGACTACATCATATCCCAGGGCTGATTGAAGCGAATGTACATAACATGAGTGAGGTTTGGGAAGTTCTACAAACTGGTAGTAATGCAAGGGCAGTTGGCTCTACCAATGCCAATGACCACAGCAGCCGATCCCACTGGTTTGTGGCTCTATGCTCCGTTTGAGTTTGTATTTGTATTCAATAGTTAGATTATGTGTTTGAAACCGTGCTAAAAGCTAACCGATGTGTTTTTTTTTTTTTTTTTGAGCCAGCATACACTGTGTTAGGGTGAAGGGAGAGAATTTATTGAACGGGGAATGCACCAAGAGCAAGTTATGGTTGGTTGACCTAGCAGGAAGTGAGAGGGTGGCAAAGACAGAAGTGCAAGGAGAGCGGCTCAAGGAAACTCAAAATATCAATAAATCCTTATCTGCACTTGGAGATGTCATATCTGCTCTCGCTACTAAAAGCCCTCACATCCCATTCAGGTTCTAAAATTTCTAATTAGTCTTTGATTTGTTATTTTTCTATGTGCAAACTAACAACCCAATCTGCATTGCATAATACCTTCAGTTTAAATTTTAATAAAATGTTTACCTACTGTGTGCAGGAATTCCAAGCTCACTCATTTGCTTCAAGATTCCCTAGGTACTTTTCTACCTAAACTATGCAATAGATTTAAATTTAGGTTGTGATTTACATGGGAGTTGTGCAAGCATAAAATGAGTAAACTGATGAGTGTATCCGTATTTCTTAGGAGGAGATTCAAAGACACTCATGTTTGTGCAGATTAGTCCCAATGAGAATGACCTAAGTGAGACTTTATGCTCGCTGAATTTTGCAAGCAGAGTTAGAGGGATAGAGTTGGGTCCTGCAAAGAGGCAGTTGGACAATGCTGAACTTCTGAGATACAAACAGATGGTATAGTGATCATTTCTATTTTAAATGCCTTGTTCTTCATTTAACCTCAATCTGTGGTTATCGTCTTTGTATTAAGTAGGTACTGACTGTTCCTATATATGTTCACGGGTTCTCATATCTGTTAAGGCTGAGAAATCAAGGCAAGATTTGAAAAGCAAAGATATCCAAATAAAGAAGATGGAGGATGCAATCAATGGATTGGACTTGAAGACGAAAGAAAAGGACCTTAAATATAAGACCTTGCAAGAAAAGGTAATATATATAGGTTGTCAGAAACCATTGCAATTTCATTTATAAAAGAGCTCACCAATTTTTTTTCTTTTATTTATTTATTTTTTTCCTTATGTTGGAAAATAGATAATTTACTATTCTTTTCTTTCTTGTTCATCAATTTTGCAGGTTAAGGAGCTGGAGGCACAGCTGCTGGTTGAAAGAAAGCTGGCACGTCAGCATGTGGACACAAAGATAGCTGAGCAACAACAGCAACAGCAAATGAAACAGCAGCAAGATGAACAAATCATTGCACCACCTAGGCCACCGCTTTCAAATCGAATATTATGTAGTAACAAGAATTTTAATGAACCTGCAAACGGTGCATTGAACAAAGAACAGATAAATCCCACTCAGCCACTTATGGGGAACACCAGCTACAAATCCACAATCCCCCTTCCCTCCACAGAGGGGAATGTCAAGTTGACTGATTCTACTGAAAAAGAAAACAACCCTGACATGGCTGATCAGCCACGGCTGCCAAAGAGGACTGGCAGAGCCTCAATTTGCACAACAGCACGACATGCTCTAGCGGCCCCAGCTCCAAGGCGTAACTCAATGATTCCACTCCCAGGCGTGCCAAATTTAGTCCAACTCCCAAGTATACCAAGTTCATTTCCATTATGCCAAGTGGATATGAAAGAAGATTCAGAAGGGTCTGAAACAAACTGTTTGCCTGAGCAGACACATTGCGACAGCCCTAAAGGAATCAGAAATGGCTCCAAGCAGCTAAGCAACATGCTGAAACGAAGCCTTCAAAAGAAAGCTAACATGAAGTCTCCACTGCAGCAACATATGAGAAGAGGCGGTATAAATGTTGGGATGGAGAAGGTTAGAGTCTCCATTGGAAGTCGAGGCAGGATAGCACATAGGGTATTGCTAGGCAATGGCAGAAGAGCAGGAATGAGGGAAGCTCAGCAGAAGCAGACGCTAGGAGACAAGGAAAGGAGGTGGAATATTGGAACAGTGGCAAGAACTCCAATCTAATTGATAAATATTTTACTGATAACTGACATTTAAATCTGCTTCCTTCCTTCTTGTATGATAGAAGGGAGAGAAAGGTGTGTATTTTTTTATGATGCGGCTAATCATCTGCTTGATTCTTGTAGTTGCCAATGTTGTGGAATTTTATTTATTTATTTTTGTTTTTTGTACAGAATTATGAACTTGGTAGTGATATGTGCTACTTGCACCTTCGGCTTTCTTTCTACCCTTTCATTCATCTGCGATGCAGACATCAGGGTAAAGCAGCCACCAAAAACAAACAAAAAATCCTCATGCTTTGATCTTTTTTTTTTTTTTCCGTGAAAGACTTGATTGAAAACGATCGCTTCAATGGTAACCATTGCAACTAAAGACACTATTTTAGGGTCAACCTTTACCTTTTTTTCTTTTCTTCTTTTTTTGGCACGGCTAGAAAATGGCAGAAAGGCAGCTACGGTCATCTGCTTTTGGTGGCTTTATTGCATTACTAATTGTGTTCTGAATTCTAACCGGCATTTTTTTTTTTTTTTGGGTATTTTCAGCCATTTTCCGAATCTAAACCTATTTTTACGGTCTGGTCGGAAACAAGTTATCCATGCTGAAACTAGGGAATTCATGAGAATTTGCTTCTCGCGTCATATTATGGTAAAGAAAGTTTTTTTCTTTTGGTGTAACCATGGGAGCTAATAGGTTAGGACAAGGAAGAGGCAAAGCATTGCAATAGTTGAGAGACAACCCTGATCTTCAGGAAGAAATAGAGAAGACAGTTCGGTTCAAGATTGAGTGATGGAAAGGTGAAAATATTTAGGAGGATCCGTCACATTTGGCTAAGGCTGTGGGAAGCTGGTTGAAGGCACAACAGAGATATATTCTTTCCTGTCAAGCCAAACCTAGGCAGAGTGGGGCAGTCAGACAGTCACATCTCCTGCTCCATTGAGTTCAAAGGGTTAAGCTGGGATTTGATTTCATCTCGTAGTCTCGTAGAAACTTGAAATGGCAGTTTCTTGTACTTTCTTGTGGAAGGAAGAATCATCAATGCAAATGTTGGTGCTGGAGGGGAAGTACTTGCAGCATGTTTTTGAATCACAAGAAATGGTGTAAACATTCACAAGGTGAATTCTAGAGGGAACTAATTTACGCAGACTAGGAATACAAATTTTTTGATTTACCGAAAAAAAAGTAAAACTTTTACTGAGTTTCATATACAATTTACGAAGATACATCAAGTAAAGATAGATAGGCATTTGTTAAGCAAAGATGCATGTCGTTTACTTGTGGAAAGGAGGGAGTGAAGGGGAGAGAAGGAGAGAGGCAGAGAGAGTTTCTTTTCTTTGTTTATAATGTGGGTGCAGGAATGTAACCACCGGCCCAATCAAGCAAATGTTTTAAGTACATCAGGCGCCTTTTGACACCACTTTTTAAATATTCAAAAACTATGTTTACTCCAGACTCTTTTATACCTAGATGAATATGGACTTTGTATTCCTCAGGAAAACTGTGCTTCTGCAAAAATCCTGACCTAATACTCTTAAACGATATCGGTATGCATAACTGCAACAGTCTTCAAAATTGTTACAGCAATGTCTGGCGCTGACTTGCTATGCCGATGATTTGCCTAACCTGCAAACATTTTGGCATGTGTTTTATCAGTTCCAGTCATCATCGTAACCATGAACCTTAAGCAACCTAGAAGGATAACCAATGAATTACCAAAGCCGAAACAGTGAATCCCCTGCTCTCTGCCATGTACTGCCATACTTGGGTTCAGAAGAATCTGATATCTGTCTTTCCATGATCTTCTCAATTGAAGGTCCCTGTTCACGTACATATTTGATAGATTCTGAGAGTCGATTGAGCAAATTTACCAGCGCAATCACTTCATTTCGTTGGAGTTGCAGCTGCAGACACAGCAATTCAAGCATATATTAGACAGAGGCAACATTTGGATTTACCAATTCCATTCAGTGACCAGTCCCTACAAATATTATCTGGGAAAAAAATACTAAATTTGGAGATTTTAATGTCATGCAAAACCGATGAAATCTAGAACATCCAAAAACTCACAGATTCACTTGGCTGATTTTGACCATTAACAGAAAAGAGTATCTTCAGTGCAGTACCAAGGCCAAGAACCTGAAGTTTTCCCCAAAGTCGACACTTCTCACAGCCCACACAGTCCATCAATGCACTGCAATATGTTTATATGATAGTTAGTAAAGTATAAAAAGCAAACTAGAAAAATGGTTTGACCAACTAGCAAGTTGGAAAATTTCAAGATGTTTAGGAGAAAATTTTATATCTTTCAGAACCACATTTTACTGTTGTATAAACATAGCTAGAATTCCATATCAGGACCTTAAGAAAACGCTTGAAGAAGATCAACTTCTCTGTATAAGAGGAGCATTCTATTCAAGATAAACCATTAGTTGAGTCGTAGAGAGAGAACCTAATATTTCTGAATTGCTTTTGAATTTGCTGCTTCAGTTCAGGTCCACTTTGGCCTTGCCACAACTTAGCTTCATCAAATGGAAGAGGGCAAGCAGCTTGGAGTTTGGGGTTGTAAAGTAACTGCCTCACTAAAGATTGTGTCTTTAAGTCCTCTGTATTGTTACCAGTGTCATACTCAGCATGCTCCAGGTAATCTGCTGCCTACAACAAATTTTGAGTAGGATAGCACCAACAAAACTCCAAAATCAATATGTCTGAAAATATCAACCTGGAACATATTGGAGTACTCACTTTAGTCATGGCACGCAAAACAAAGAGGAATGTGAAGTACAAGTTTCTGACACGATCAGGGTATCTTAGAACACGATCATACATCAATTCTGGGTTCTGACCCCACTGAAAAACGTAAACACTTTGTCAGTATCCAATAAAATTGATTGTGGATGGGGTTGGTCTTCATTGAGTTCATTTCATGTTAAAAAGTTCTATGCATTACTTGTCTACATATTCTCAATTGCATAGACAGCATAAAGCTCTGGAAATACACAGTAATTAACAATTAGACAACTGTATATGTAAAAGGTCCTCTTAGAAAGAACCTTCAAGAACGAAAATACATACAATATGAAAGAGAGATGCAGTATGGCAAATTCATAAAATTTTGTTGGTAATTATGATAAGGACCTTCAAAACAGACATTAAGGCAAGAGAAAAATATGTTGAACAGGACGGGACACAAAGCAAACCTTATTGATGCTCTCATCAAGAAGATAATCGGCAGCAATATGGATTGAAATGGAAGAGTGGAGGCCAGATATTAATTTGTATAATACTTTTTTCTCTTGGCAAATCTCTCCAGATGGGTCTGCAAGAAGTTAAATGGTAATCAGCAGTGAAAAGAAACCAAAATAAAGAACAAGAAATCTTTAGAGAAACATGGACATATATAGAGATTCACTACATATCACAGGAAATACATATTGACTTTCAAATTTGGGGGAAGAAGCAGACAGCACAATATCTAAGAAAAAGGTTTCCTTTCACATCGAGCAAGAGTTTCATGAATTGACTAGTTCACTAAAATATCTTCAACCAATTTTATGAACTCAAAAGCACAAAATTCAATTTCAACTATGCATGTAACCGCCAATGGAATAATTAATTATCTCAACCAGCAGGATTAAATTGCCTGCTCCACTAATTTCTTCCTACTTTTGAAGACATTTCATCATATTGATCATCATGCACCCCATGGCATTCCCAGCAGTCAATGCATCCACAAAGATATTAAAAACATCTACTTACACTTTGGGCAATTCTCTGAGTAAACTGCATCCCATATTCTTCTAGCTGATGGACCAACATAACCAGTGTAGCGTTCCGGATTCAACTGAAGATTCACATATGTCATCTCACCTACACGCCATAATTCAACAGTCAGTCTCTGCAATGTTACTTTAAGAAAAAACCTCCTCAAAAAAGGAGAGATAACACTTGTAACAGCAATTTGAGGCAATGCTGAAAGTTAGGGTTCTATTAATTCTACTGGGAAACATAATAGTTCAATAATCAGATGCAGTCTCACCAAGTTATTACTAAGTGGAAGCTAAACTGTTTTTAAGGTCTTAACGATCACAAGTGATGCCAAAGAAATGATCCTGTAATTTCTAATTTGTAAATACTAGATCTCCTGCCATACACTAGAAAGCTAGATACTATATGATCTTCCAGATTCAAAAAACGAAAATTGTGCATTGTGCATTCACCAAAGAGCCAGCAGTTACCATTATCAGTCTCGTCATCATTTGTCCATGGATTATCTGTCTCTATCCATCCTCTAAAAGCTCTACTGTCTAATGTGCGGTCAACAGCAGCCTGTGGCTTTCCTTCTTGACACACCAAATCATCTGCTGAAAGACCATGGCTGAATGGCTTCTTAAAAGGTTCCGGGAACTCATTTTCTGGACATTCACAGACACTGCAATCACGCAAGCGGCACATACCATCATCGGGCCAGAAAGGGCAGTCACACCACAATTTAACCTCCCATAAAGAAAACACATCTCATGTCAGAAAAAGAATAGATAAAAGAACTATGGTAGTCGACTATAACAGTGGCTCAAATTCACAATACAATAAGAAATAGAAAAAAGGATGTCTATATTTTGATGAATTTTCCTTCTGGACACAAATACTATCATCACCATTATTGAAATGGTTCCCAGAAACAAGTTGCATCAAACCAAAATAATTTAGAAGCGGCACCATGATACATGCAATCGCAAGATAATGCCTGAGTCAAAATTGAAATTCACACTGATCGGTGGATTGTTCGAAGGTTGACGGAAGAAAATGGAAGCCAAATTGCAAAGGAACTCCCAACACAAAGTAACACAAAATAGTGGTTTTGCATCTAGCATTTTACATATAATAAAATTGTCAATATGAAAAGTCATCGCCATTATTGAATTGATAGTGGCAGATCATATCGAAGACTTCAGCACAAGAAAGGAGCGGATTCAGTGAACAAAGCGATGTCTGTAAAAGTAGGTACCTGCCCGTGCCTCACCCTACTGTTTCATTACAAAAGAATTTGAGCAACAAAATGTTCTTCCAGAATAAATTTCAGGCTAACAACAATATCCAAACAGACTAATTCAACAGTTGCATCGATACTTAATCACCACATCTAAGAAATGATTAACTCGAGTCAGGTTAAATTGCAGCAATCTTAATCATTTCTTTACTAGGGACAACAATACCAAAATATTTCATCAGGAAACACTCATATGACAATAAAACTAAAAGGACAAGACCCCAAAATAACACAACAGAAAACCCTTACCTTAAAATAGCGAAAAAACGGTGTTGTAACAAGCTCTTGAAGCAAAGGAGACAACACCTCTCCATTAACATTATCTACACTCTCGAAATCACAACAACAATCCTCAATCATTCCCTTATACTTCCCTGAATCCTACACACAAAACCCACAAAAAAGAACACCAAATGATAATCAAATCTTTAAAAAAAAAAATCAACAGACAAAACTAGAGACAATGAATTGTACCTGAGAGAAAGGGCATTGACATGACTTGTAATTGCTGCGAATCAAAGAAGCAATCTTTGAAGCATTCATTGGAGACACAGTAACAGCTGCTATTACTGCTAATACAACTGCCACTAATGCCCCAATCAACCACCAAGAACTCCATTTCCTTCTCTCGTTCTTGTTTTCTTGTTTAGGCTTAAAGCTCTTGATTTTCTTCACCATTTCAAAATCTAAGACAAACCCAGATCCTGTTTCTGCTAAACCCTACAAACCCAGGTTGTGCTCTTCAGCATTTAAATGAAAGCGATACTACCAACAAGAATCAAATTGAACAGCACACAGAATACCCGCGTTTTCTTTCTCATTTGCTTGCAAACGGTGTGCGAGGATAAAGTCCTAATTCGTCAAAAAGGTACAAAACGTATTTTCAGAAAAGGAAAGTGCTTTGCACGCACCAATCGGTTTGACATCATGGACACGAGGTGAAAGAAAAAATGAAGATGGGTTTTCGAGAGAGTGGGAGTCGGTTTGAACGAGTTAGGAACGTTCATTAATGTTGAATCTGTTTTCCTTTTGAAGAAATGACGTGCACTGACCAATAGGAGCTCGAGTTCTGGTTGACTGAAATTTTGGAACATGATGGGTGGGTTAAGTCTTGGGCCTAAGGCTAAGGTCCAGTGAGTTAAGCCTCATTTCAATAGCCCAAATCCAATTCTAACTTCCTTGGACGTCCTTCTTGCTTGGAAGGAGGAAAGCATTACAATTACATTGTTTTCTATAATGTATTTCTATTCCAAACTTTTCATTTTAATAATCAAACAATATTTATATGTAAACATTCAAATAATAAAATCACGATAAAAAAATCTATGCGTTAATAGCACTATTATTATCTCACAAAAATGGATCTTTCAGACGTTGAGATTATACTTTCTTTTAAAATATTTTTCATTTGATGTAGTATATGAGAAGGAGTAAATTAGTATAATACATCTGCACGAAATAATTGTCCAGATAATACAAAAGGATTTGATTATAAATTAATGATTTATCTGTGATGGTTTTCATTTAAAAAAAAATAGAAAAGCATGAACCAACTCACAAATAAGAAAAAAAGCATATGGCTATTGTACATTTTGATTAAAGGTTGAAAATGCGAGGAAACGATTAAAGAAAAAAAATAAAGTACGAAGACAAGAATGATCACATAATACAAAAATTTACGTAATTCGATAATTGTGTCTACTCCACGTACTGTATTAAAAGTTCTTATTAAGATTTTATCAAATAGCAGACTACAAATACAAAAGATGTTATCTCCATTTTATAGTGTGGACAACTAATATTATAATACAAAAAAAAAAAAATCTTTCAAACCTATATATAATCGGCTTAAGATTTTATAGACCGTCGTGCTGGTTTTATATAACGCACTAAATTACAAGATACATTCACATCAATCTTCATAACTTAATGAAAAATACGTAAGTTAATTGAGTTGATGCATATCTTTTTATGAAAATGAGAAAGAAAACACATTACAAGTTTGTATTCCTAATTCCATCAAAATTATAATAAGATGAGCCAACTCACAAATAAAAAAGAAAACATTTGTTTATAGTAAATATCGTATAGTGATTGAAAAGGAAAATGATGATAATCACAAACACCGAAAAAAAAAAAAGAAGAAGAAGAAGAAGAAGAATTACAATATTCTCGTGCAATTTGAGTTAGATAAATTATGGTTGTTCAATTGATATTTAGATACAAAATTGTTATGCAATAATATTCAGACACAATTGTTATACAGATAGAAGTACTTTGAGATTTGTGTTTGCAAATTACAGATTTTAAAAAATAAATAATAATTGCCCATAAATTTGATTATCATGTAACTATGATAAATTATATGTTTCATTTCTTTCTTTCAGCACATTTGATGAATTATATATTGAAAATTTCATAGCTAAACTTCTAAATTTAAGAGATTGGTTATGGAAACATACAATTCCGTAGTTTTTTATTAGTATAACTTAAAATTATTTTTTCTTATTGATGCACAAAAAGTATATTTCTAGGAACATGATTTTTCTTTTTTTATTCTGGATGGATGGTTTAAGTACTATTAATTTCTTTATTTAATTCCTATTAGAGTTTAAAATACAAATCCATAAACAAAATTATTTCTGCATCAAACTCAAAATGGAAATAATACTGAGAATTGACTTCTGTTTTGTGCAAATAAACTATTGGTCCTTCTAATGATTTAGGATTTCCATACTCACAATTACTAACTTCCTTTAGTCAATTAGTCTTGTTTTATTGTTCAATCTGTCATTAATTTTTAGGCATTACAAATCAAAAGCAAAAGGACTTGAAGTAAGAAGTATATTTTAGAGAAAATCTCAATTCAATCCTTAATCTATATGCTCATTTTCAGTTGAGTCCCAAAACAACACTATTTATTAATTAAGCCCCAAATGTTTAAGACATTTTTCAATTGAGTCTTTTTATCAAAGTTTGTTAATATTTTCAGTCGAACTTACCTATTTTATGTAATAAAATGGTCTCTTTTTTCACAGAAATTGATAGATAAACCCAATAAAAATATCTAAAATATTCAAAACATAATTGCTAAAATATTTGTCTAGAATGTAACTAATAATTGATTAATATGTCAGAGATTAATTCCGATTTTACATGAACTTTCGTAAAAATGAATCTAAAGTCTATATCTAGTCATAAATGTAGCGATGGATTATAAAAACCGTCGCTAAATTCGTGACCTTTTTCAATTATTTAGCAACCTTTTTTTTTATTGACGACGGTTAATCCAACGTTAATTTAACGATGGATTAACAAAACCGTTGTTAATTATTTAGCAAGAAACTTTTTTTATGATGGTTTTTAACGATCACAAAACCGTCACTAATTTTATTTAGCAATAGTTTTTAAATATCTAGCGACAGTCTAAATCATTGTTAAATGATTTTTTTTATATATGTAACGACATAGTAAGAGGTATTGAATTTTGTTGATCATATAATTCCTCCTCCTTCTTTATTTTTTAATCCGTTTGCTTGAACATATCATAAAGCTAGCTAGCTATAAACCAAGAACCAAAAGTGTTTGTTAAGATAACATTCGATTCTACCAAACGTTAATGGAGAAATAAAGGTAACTGAAATAACTATAACCAAACTGGGACTATCTGGTTCTCTACGAACTATTCATCAATGGACTTATTCTAGCCTCCATAACTAGACACCAATCAGCATCTTCTCCTACTAATAGCAATAATGGCTTTGGACTTTTTTATCAACCAATTTTCAGGTGGGTCACCAGACAAACTAATTAGCCAACTGTATAAGAGACACATGACTCTACTTTATCCCCTCTTTTTATAAATACAAGTTGATGAAAAAAAAAACTCAAAAAATTTAGTTGTAGCTTGTCTTAATTATTGTACTTGGAGTTGTTGATTCCATGTATCCACTCTCTCATAGCGCTTAATTAATTAATTTACAAATTTTTGGGATCCAAGTTAATGATTAGCAGTTCTCAAGGATGATGATGATTTATAAAACATTGGATGGTGCAAGAAATGTGACGAGGTTCATGTAATAAGAAGGTTAGATTATTAACTACATATAATTAGGAGATTGGATGGTTGGATACATTGTATCCAAGAAGGTAGAGAGAAACGTCTGGTTGTCTGCCTTGCATTTGTTTCTTTCTTTTATTCTTCTGAATAATGCATGCCTCTCTTCGTACATGTCTCTGCACATTATGGAGACATTATGAATCTTAACTCCCAAGTTTAACACATGAGAATATATTCCTCAATCAATACCATACCCTACATTTAACACATGAGAGCATCCCGGATCTTAATGAGAATGCAGTGAGACAATGTCTAGATACTGATGAGAATGAATTCTTTTTTTTTTTTTTTACCTTATTCATTAATGAAAAGTTGGTGGGTTAATTTCAATTATGATTCAAAACTGTAAAAGTAAACATTGAATTACTTAATAATGCCTTAATAATAAGACACGAAATAATTATAAAAATGGCAATGCAAATTTCAATATAACTCATATATTTTTAAAATAAAATTATATATAAAATAAAGGAAATTAAAATGTATATAATCGATATCAAATATTAATCAAGCGTGGATGATGTTGAGGATGAATTGAGATAAAAAAAAAATTAAATAAATAAAACTCATATAATTTCTATTAGCGATAATTAATCCCCTCGTTTTAGGCCAAATTTCAATGTCTCTCAATCCAAAGTTGCTTCTAGCATATTTTTATTATTTGAGTTGATTTCTAATTTATCCTTTTGGTCAAACTTTTCAACTGAGTTCATTAGAAATTAATTTTCATACTAGTAGATATAAATCATATATTATGTACAATTAATTTGTTTAATTTGACAGAAAATTTTTTAACAAGAAAGATAAATTAAAAATCAGTTCAAATAATATAAACATATTAAAAGCCTTTTTAAATTTAAGAATAGATTAAAAATTTAACCTATTATATAAGGATGTATAAGAGTATTAACTTGTTCTATTGTAAACTTCAGATTATTTTGACGAGTTGATTGCGATCATATTATACAATAGATATCAAATATTGATCAACGTGGATCGAGTTGAGGATGAATTTTGAGATAAAAATTGTATAATTTCTATTGTAAACCCCAAATCCTTTTGAGAATTGTTTGCTGTCATTATTTTTCATCCTGAAAAAGAAATTATACAAAATGAATAATATCCCAAATAAAATGAAATTGTCAAGTCCTTTCAAGGCATAGAGTTTGTCCTACCCTCCATGCTTCTCCTTCCCCACAAATAATGAAGAATGAAATAATTAAGGATACCAATATTAGTTTGTGGGGCAAGGCATCTGTTAAAAAGGAATGGCCCAAATTCAATTTATGGGCCTCCACACCTAGGGGCCATTAAAACATCCCACGTGTCAAACAAAGAAGTATTCATCATTCTACAAACAGATATTGTGCCATGCTTACTAATTGATCAAAAAAGATCAGAAAAACAAATTGATTGATGATAAATAAATCCAGGGTGGTTGCACATGCAATTGACATCTGTCCCTACCATCGTAAAAATCTTGACCAAATTAAACAGAGGTTCGAGTTTAGAAGAAGCCCATTTGACGCTTAGGTCTATTTGTTAGAGCAGAGAAGGA